GGGCTGGGCTGGGCTGGGCTGGGCTGAGCTGGGCTGAGCTGGGCTGAACTGGGCTGAGCTGGGCTGGGCTGGGCTGAACTAGGCTGAACTGGGCTGAGCTGGGCTGGGCTGAGCTGGCCTGTGCTGGACTAAGCTGAGCTGGGCTGGGCTGAGCTGGGTTGGGCTGGGCTAAGCTGGGCTGAACTGGGCTGAGCTGGGCTGGGCTGGGCTGAACTAGGCTGAACTGGGCTGAACTGAGCTGGGCTGGGTTGGGCTGGGCTGAGCTGGGCTCTGCTGGGCTGAACTGAGCTGAACAGGGCTGAACTGAGCTGAGCTCGACTGAGCTGGGCTGGGCTGGGCTGGGCTGGGCTGGGCTGGGCTGGGCTAGTGACTGAGGTCAACAGGAAGGGTACGCTGCATTTGTATCACCCCCAGAGATCTAACCAGGCTGTTCCCCGTGTTCTAAGGGGGTATGGGGGCTACACCATGGGGTTGTACCATGGGGTCCCCAGAGGAGCCCTTTCTCCTCCCGTGTGACCCCCTGCACAGCCAAGAGGCCGTGGTGCAGGCTCACTTCCTGGGCTGCCCTGTCCTGGCCTGTGCCCTCCTTCTGGGCCCTCCTTCCCTGAGCCCCAGAACCCAGTGGAGAGATGGGAAGCTGAGGCTTCAGCAGCTCCTGCAGACTCAGCCACTGAGTGGGAGAGCCATGCTCAATCACCACAGGTCCTGAGGCCTTCCCCGAGCTGCATGTCCAGGCGGTGGTGGCAGAACCCTGAGGACCGTGTCCAGAGTCAGTGCAGCTGGACGCAGGCCTCTGGCTCCGACCCCAGGTCCTTGGCACGTGAGCTGCGGGAGCTTGGGGCAGTCCCTAGCGGTCTCCGTGCAAGTTTCCTCCAGTGCACAGAAGAATCGGGCTTTGTGCTGGGCCTGTGAGGCTGTGTCGGGGCCCAGGGCCCTGCCCACGGCCTCACAGAGCGTCCTGTGTTGCAGAGTCCAAAGCCAGCCCCACTCTCTTCCCGCTGAGCCTCAAAAGCCGTGACGAAGCCGGGCACATAGTCATCGCCTGCCTGGTGCAGGGGTTCTTCCCACCGGAGCCCGTGAACGTGACCTGGAGCCCCAGCAAGGAGGGCGCGTCCGTCAGGAACTTCCCCCCTGTGAAGGCCACAGCCGGCAGTCTGTACACCATGAGCAGCCAGCTGACCCTGCCAGCTGACCAGTGCCCTGTCAAGTCGTCCCTGAAGTGCCACGTTCAGCACCTCTCCGACCCCAGCAAGGCTGTGTCTGTGCCCTGCCAAGGTCAGAGGGCGGGGAGGCGGGGCCACCCTATTCCGTGACCACGTGCCACTTTGTCCCCAAGGGCACCGCACCAGGGCGGGAGTGGGCTGCCGAGACAGGCCCCATGAAGGAGCGGGGGCTGGGGAGGGCAGGCGGGCAGAGGGGCGCCCTGACCTGCTGCGATCTCTCTCTCAGTTCCAGGAGGGTGTCCCCCCCCTTGTCCTTGTCCCTCGTGTGACCAGCCCCGCCTGTCACTTCACCCGCCCGCCCTCGAGGATCTGCTTCTGGGCTCCAATGCCAGCCTCACGTGCACGCTGAGTGGCCTGAAAGATCCCAAGGGAGCCTCCTTCAGCTGGACGCCCTCCGGGGGGAAGGACGCGGTCCAGAAGGCCCCCGAGCGGGACTCCTGCGGCTGCTACAGCGTGTCCAGCGTGCTGCCAGGCTGCGCGGAGCCATGGAACCGTGGGGTCACCTTCTCCTGCACGGCCACCCACCCCGAGTCCAAGAGCCCGATAACCAGCAACATCAGCAAACTCCCAGGTGGGCGCAGACCCTCTGGAGGCCTGGCTCGGCCCCCACGCCCGCCTCCGCCCTCTCGCCCGGGGCTTGGGCGCTCCCACCCGCAGTTCACAAAGGGAAGCCGAGGCCCGGGGTGCCCAGGGGCAGAGGGGCTCCTCTCCACCGCCACCCCAGACCCCTGACCTGGCTCTCTGCTCCCCAGGAAACACCTTCCGGCCCCAGGTCCACCTGCTGCCGCCGCCGTCGGAGGAGCTGGCCCTCAACGAGCTGGTGTCGCTGACCTGCTTGGTGAGGGGCTTCAGCCCCAAGGACGTGCTGGTCCGCTGGCTGCAGGGGACCCAGGAGCTGCCCCCGGAGAAGTACACGACCTGGGGCTCCCTGAAGGAGCCCGGCCAGGGCGTCCCCACCTTCGCCGTGACCAGCGTGCTGAGGGTCGACGCTGAGGCCTGGAAGCAGGGGGACAAGTTCTCCTGCATGGTGGGCCACGAGGCCTTGCCCCTGTCCTTCACCCAGAAGACCATCGACCGCCTGGCGGGTAAACCCACCCACGTCAACGTGTCTGTGGTCATGGCAGAGGTGGACGGCGTCTGCTACTGAAACGCCCACCCGTCCTCCCTGAATAAAGTCCGTGTTCACCCGGAGTGACCCCGGGCCGCCCTGAG